TGTCTTTAAAATATGCGTTTTCCTACTTCGTTATATTTATCTATCGTGATTTGTATATTTAGGTATTATGTAAAGCGAATGAATAACAGTAGTATGAAATTATATACAAAATAAACTCAAAGATTTCCATCCTTCAGAAGATGGAAGGAATCAGATATTCACATCTCACAGAAGAACTGAGGGAGAGCATAGAAGATTTGAAGAGACAGTACGTTTTCTTGTGTAGTGATTATATGATTTGGTGTGTTTTGATGTTGAGTCCTAACAGATGATATCAAACCTTTTTTTATCCATGGACAAATTTTGTGGTAACGATTATCATATTACTACTGTGTTGTCGATGTAAAAGAAACGGTAATGGGTGCTCTTATTTTGCCTGTTCATAATCTACACAGTTTAGAAAAGAATTGTTTACTCAACCCAAGAGCAGCTATTACAATTCACCTCCCGACACATTCTTCATGAGAGTGTGCATTTCATAACGGACTAGACTCAACATTGTTCTAGATTCCTAAAGATTTCGTAGTCGGTTATGCCACAGTATTGTAAGAGTTGCTGGCAAATTTCCCAACGCAATTTTGCACCCTCCGTTTCTAGGAATCAACCTTAATTCGCGGTAAGCGGGAGGTGTTATGTGTGAGAGTATACTTTGTTTATTGAATGTGACAGTGGATGTTGTGACATCGAAAAGTCGAAAAGATTCGGTTCAACCCCAAAACTACTCAAAGGGAGGCAGACAGTAAGGGTTAGTGGAGGTGCACTACGCTAACATGTTTTCCGATTCACGCCTTGAGTTGCGGGGATAATCCAATTTGTGTCCCATTGGTGGCATCAAGTACAATAATTCACCGTAGAATGGGACACATATGATCCAATACCGCGGTCAAATCGCACTTGAACTGAGACAATGGACTACAGACGGCTAAAACAAACACTTAGCCAGGAGACATGTCATAATATCCGCTCTAGGAGAGTACAGGCGATCATACAATACCAAATTGTGTCTGTCTAAAACGTGGTAAGGCGACCTTCTACATTGTGTTCTTACTATTAGCCCAATGAAGTTCAATTTTGAGACTTTTTCGTTATTCTTTGTTTATCTTCTTTTCTGTCCAAGACCAAAAGAAGCGGAGCAGGATACAAAAAGGTGTGCATATTATGAAATAGTGAATCACCAAAAGGGTGCTTGCTTACCGTTCCCATACTTATCTTTTGCAATGTACGTACAGTATAATAATCGTGTATGTATTCTACCTAATTTCATTTTTATGTTAATAGTTTCAACAACAAAACAAGATGCTTTGTGCTAGCATGCTGATGATGCTATCGCTAGAATAACAGGACTCAGACGTAGATTTCCCTCTAATTCTTTTTTTTCCAGTTTGTAAAAAAACACAAGACCGTCCAGTAGAGCCGTTAGTTACATGTGGATTATTTGACTAAAATTCTGAACCACAACACAAGCACTGCTATCCTGTGCAAACGACATTTTAACACAAATGTGCCATATCACCTGGATGTTTCCAGCACTCAAATAATCTTGTCTATCCGATCACATTTTTCTGTCCGCAATTTTTGTTGTTTAAGAGAATCAAGATAATAAATCGGTGCCTTCTTCGGCGATGGTTACTTACACTCCCATAATCCGGGCATTCCAACCAATTATCTGATATCAACATTAGAGAGAATATATCGGTCTTGTTAGGAATGTCAGGATACATATTTTGGCGAAGAGGACATCAATCCTAGCGGTCTAATCTTTTCTTTAGGTAGGCATGAGCAATTTTGCATCAGGCGAGAGTACAAATGGTGGGCCGGATATCTTGACGAATGAGTGTGTGCTTATGACAGGTGATAACTGCACAATTTGAAACGGGCTCAGATTCATAAGAAGGAAGTTGATTTATGATCCGACTAAACTTTATTTTGTCTACCACAGTTTCTTCATACCCGTACGGATTTTTCCTCTACAAATATAGCTCACAAATGATCGCTTGCTGATCAGGTGCTGTTTTTCTGTCAATCGGAACATTTGTGTATGTGACGAAAGTGCTCAAGTACCCGCTAATTTTCTCCTAAGGCTTTGTTGTGTTGGTTTGTTTCTAGAAGCCTAGAGCGTCATACATTTGCCCTAAACTGTGCAAAGAAAGAGAAACCTGTTCTTAAACTGTTAGGTACTGGAAGCCAGCCATTGGAATGTAACGTTACGCCTGAAACGGCGCCGTATTTCTCGCACCACAAGCTAGTGAACCCCCGTTCGGGGACACCGGGCCCCCGTGCTAAAATTCAAGCTCACTTCCTGAGATCCTATCGTAACAGACTGTTCGCGGCAATTTTACATTTCCGAGCTAGAGGAGAAGATAACGCCGCGGCTCCGACAAATTTCGGCACATTTCAATTTCTGCCGAGCTAGATGCCGACCCGAGATACGACCCCGCCATTTCTGCGCGCACGGCGCGAGGGAACTGCGCCGGTATTCCCGCCGTTTTGACGCAAACCGACACAGACAGCCCGTCAAGAATTCCTCTAACCCTACCTGCCTTCAAGAACGTTTGGTTAGGATGATTCTGAAACAAATAATGGGATGACAGGTGCACAAAATTACCATCAATGTGAGGGCCTTTTCTATATACATGTAACCCTATCTGCTACACGCACACCTGAAATGTTCTCCTTTTTTGCATTCTAGGAACATCCAAGGAATATCTGAACGTCTCACATTCTATTCTTCCAATTATTTTTAATGAAAAACCCAACCCAATAATGTCATAGCATGACATGTTAAGTGTCTACATTCCCAAAGATATGGCAATTTTGAAGGAGCCACAATTGCTCATCGCGTGGCGCGTGAAAGATATCATCTCCCGTCCAAGCGGAGGAGCGTGCCGTTTGCCGCCCGCCGGAGCCCCTTTGAATTTTCATCGCCGACAAAACCGCGGTCGGATCGAGCTGCTTGGCGCCGTGTTGTGAAATGGCGAGGTTTTTAAGCCGCTCCATTCGGATGTAAAAATACTCAAATTTGTGCGGGACGTCCAAAGTCGGAACTCCCCGGCGAAAGTGTGGGAACGGGCCGAAATCGCGTGAGTTACAAACGAAACCGCGCTTGTTTTAAAACAATTGAAATGATAATCCCTTTGTTACAGCTAAACCCTAGTTTTTGGCACCATCCTGCCAAGTACAGGTACGTGACAAAGGTGTCAGTGCTGTACAAACAGATTCAGGGATGAAACAGTACCGCATGACAGTCTCTCTACCGCTCCTATTACCTAAAACCACACGGTCTGAACCGGTCTCGGTCTGTTGTGAAATGCCTGCAATGTTGTTCAAATTTCCGAATGAAACCTGACGGCAACGTCACACAAAACTAGATGCAGACTTTCACCACTAGACTGTCCCAAACGTCTTGTACGTTTTCTTTAGGAGGCTAAGGCGAGAAATGCGACGAATATGTCTGGTACTCAGAGTCAATCTTATTTTTGTTCAATCCTTGTCTGCCTCTAGCAACTGACCCCGGCATTCGTCTTCCTTACCCGACCCAACCGCAGCCCGCATTAGTCGATATGGCCGCTTGTTAGCACGGGTAAGCTATAGGTCTGGAGTACTATTGGTTTTATTTAACATAATCAAACAAATAAATGGGATAACAAGATGTTGCTAAGCGCTGGTTAGGGCGGTATATAGCCGGCCAAAGCGTCCGAGATCAAGAAAAATCTAAAAGGCATCGAAATTGGATCTGTTGAAGCAGGGGCGAATGAGAAGCTACATCAACCATAATTTGTCCTCAACTGGGAATTTCATGTAGCCGCAAAACCTGCCATTTATACCAATTCCCTGTCTCTAAGCATACATGTGCATATGTAAGATCGGGTTGATAGGGCCTTTCCCGCGGGTGTGCAGTGGCGGGGGTACTGTTTGTATGTTCTGAACTGCGACAGGTGACCCAGAAAATGTGGATGAACTGCTGTGAGACCACTGAGGTGGCCGTGCCACGGTGACAATTGTGGAAAAGCGATCGAAACACGCGTTGTCATAATTAACGTGAGGAAATGGAAACGGTGGGGATGCAACAAAGAAAGAAGACGTCTTTATGTACTGTCGCAAGGTGTTCAAAAGAGGATCCTTCCCTGTAGTTCGGTGTCTTTGATCCAAGTGTTTTCGGGTCCAATCTAAACAAACTGAATGAACGTTTCCCAGCGGGCTAGGATATCGTGCTAATCACAATATCGGTGTCAGATTAATGCTTTTAGTAACGGGTAAAAATGTTAATCTAATCTAATCTTTTAGCGCTAATGAAATCCGCACGCCCGCGAATCATCTTCACTTAGCTTAAATGAAAACGAGCCATTGTTTTAATTCGCGGTTAGGAAGTGACGGACAAAGAAAATCACACGGGTTTTCGCAGCTTATGCCGCATGGAGATCCAGCTATGGGCTGTCTCTACGATTTTTACCACCTCTCTGTGAAATGATGGGAAGAAGAAGCGATATTTTGGGTGGTATTGTACCGGCTACATCTCAACTAACCTGCTAATGAAATTTACATGAAACATGCCATTCTTATGTTGAGATGATTGGACAAGCTGGACAACACACGCGACAAGTACCGTCATGAAATACACTAAAATACTCCTGCATCTACAGTATTCGAATAGGATTTGCCGACACCTGAGGGCTTTTTGAACAGGTGAAATTTCCAAGCTATCATTGCAGACGTTCATAACTGAGGAACGTCTATTCTTGCAGCCGTGTCCACCTTGTTCTACAGCATCTTTTGAAGACTATGCTAAAAGTGAGAGCGACTTTCCCACCAAGCACAAGATAAACCACTGCGGGTATCTCCATCCCTCACCAAATGAAATACACACAAAAACATGGCAACAGTTACGGCCAAGCAACAAATTTGTACAATGACAATTTATGGTTCTACTAGCTGTAGTAAGTCCGGTACTAGACATGGCCGTGTGAGGATATGATACCAGAAAACTGTGCGTAACGTTTTACCTGGACTCTCGTCTCGGGTGACTAGAAACAAAACAAAGGAGTTCCTATTATTTTTATAAAATAGACTATCCTTTCAACACCAGTGAAAGCGATAATCATGCCGTACATGTAACAGATGATATAGTTCAGAGAAGTACTGGTTAGAAATGCCGTACTATTGAGTTTTCCCGTACCTGTACTCTGGACTCGGTCAGGCCGATTCTGAGCGCGAGCTCTTCCCTCATGAAGATATCGGGGTAGTGCGTCTTGCTGAAGGACCGCTCCAACTCTTGAAGCTGGGCGGGGGTGAAGCGCGTCCGGTGCCGCTTCTGCTTCTGTGGTTTGTCGTCGGACTGGTCGGACTTGGCCGAGACCGTCTCCGGCCCGGAGTCCATGACTCCCGAGGAGCCCATGTCCTGCTCGCGGACCTTGTCCTGCCCGTGGCAGCTGGCCGTCGTGCTGTCGACGCCTTCTTCCTTCATGCCTGAAGCAACGTGGAAAGTAAAGACTGCATTCAGAAGGAGAGAGAGAGAAAAACAAAACAGAAACGGGAATTAAAAACAAGGCAACGAAATTGATAATCGTCCTGTGAAGTGGTGGCAACCTATAGCTCGGACAGAAAGTGTGATAACAGAAGGACTTGCTTGAATGAACGGGTGTTTTGTTGTTTCTCCAAGGCGTTTGGCACTCGTCTTCTAACTTCTGAATCATCCCAAAAAAAGAAAGGGATTCCAAGGATTCTCGCATAAAATATTGAGTGCTAAAAGGTCCTAAACGGAAACGTTTATCGGGTTGGTGAGGAGGCGGAGGTTTGTGCTTCTCTAGTTCCCAAAGGAACTGACGGCAGAAACGGAGAGACTGCTCTGTTTCTCTGAAGGACTCTCTCGGTTCTGTTTCCAAGAAATGTTCAGTCACCGCGTAAAAAAAACAGAAGTGTCGGAAATAACTGGGGCGGACGGAGACAATCCACGGTAACGTCGGGGCAGAGCCAAGGTCTTGTTACTAATTTGGCATGAAGTCGGCCCATTGTTGTGCGCCTTTTGTCGCCTCCGTATATTGACACAAAGCGGGCGTATAAGAGCAGCAAGTGCAAGTTGTTTGGTGGCACAAGCAACACACGCGATTTACAAATTATATAGCGTAGCTAAAAAACACAAAACACCTCTTCTTGAAAGGGACGACGATTTTGAAAATATTTGGCGCGGTCCACTGAACTAAACTGGCGAGTAAATTAATAAAGTTAGGATGAAAGAGGAATGAAAGGGAAAAGTCGTTTGGGGCAAAATGAATTTCCTTGCACCCGTAATATCGCCAAATAGGCGACGTGTTTAGGTGGAATATGGGCAGAATTGAGCGTTGATTAAGGGTAACAAGAGATGAAACTGTTCAATTGTGAGCGGTAATGAAAGCTATAGAAAGAAAGTAAGTGGACCAGAGCTCTTACCGGAGGACAGGGGCGAGTTGACCGAGGCGTTGTTGTTGAGCATGCCGGCGTGAGAGAGGAGCGGGTCCGTGGAATTGTGGAGAGAGTTGCCGTTCGCCGAGAGCACCGCAGTCTGGGCACCCCCTGCCATGGCAGTCCGCACGGAGACTCTAACTGCTGGTCGGCGGTGGGACGAGGGATATACGCCGGCCTCGGGCGGACCCAGGCTGCCTCTCTTTGTGATGCTGCGGTCGCCGGGCCCAGAGACGGCCTCTGATTGGTCGCCGTGGAAATGACCAATGGGAGGGCGGCTAGCAGCCAGCTGATGACAAGCCGAGTATGAGAGGGCCACTTACCACCTCGTCTCAACGCACCGACCATTAATATTCAATCGGGATAATTGGGAGGCCAGAAGTGTCAACTAGCTACGATAACTTCCTATAAACACTCCCCTTTTCTCACCAATTTATTCACTTTTCACCTGAACGACAGAGAAGCGCAAACGCCCGAATGTTTTACCTGCATGTTTTCTTTGTAGCAGCAAAGCGGTATGAGTAGGCGCATGAAAAAAGTTTTACCAGGATTTTGAAGCCACAGATTAGGTGCTAAACGGATAGCTATTTAGCGACTCTGATTCTAAACATCACAAGTTGTTGATCGAGTGATCTTGCCCCTCCATCTTAATCTTACGTTCTCTTCGCGCGGTTTTTTTTTTGCTGCTCACCGTCTAAACCCTGAAATCTCCTCATTTTAGGAGCCGAGATGTGTTTCATCTATATTTCATGTCGGCCCGTGGCGTGTTTAAGTCGACTCAATCGGGGTAGGATGGCTGGGACACAGACCCCATCCCGCGACCACTGGCCCAGAAAAATACCTACTTCACAAGCTGTTATGTCTCCATCATGCTCAGTGTTTGTCTAGTCCGTGTAGAAACACCTCTTAGCTTATTAGCTTGAACACGAAACTGGATAAACACAAGTGTACCCAAGTGATCATGAGCGGCAAGGCTTTCCATAACGCTTGGAACGAAGGCGCACTTTTTATTTCTACTTTTTCTCTTGTGTTGTGGTTGGTACAGTTTCATGTGACCATCTGTTAGTCTTGGTTGAGGGAACTTTCATTGGGTTTATTCGGTAGGATCGAATCTCAGCCTATTCTTTCCATCCGTTCCTAATACGTCAGCCACGTACCGCCGTGAAATGCGCGCTCTCCGCAACAATACGCCAAAACAAAAGCGGCCCGTGATGACAGAACTGCGCCGCAAGACTTGCGCCGGTCAGATTTCCCAGTGTTCGCTGGGAGTATAATGTAGAATGGAAACAACCCTACACGTGCGACCACTTGTCTTGATTGACGTGATTTTAATTTTCCTGAACAATCTGTTATTAACTGTTGATTTGACGGGCATAACACGGGCGGCTTTTGTATTTCGCAACCGCATCTTTCGGCCACGTGTGCGGATCGCATTCTTTGGCAAACGATGGCCGTCGCCATGCTGCCCCCCACGGCAGGCTTTCCCCCGAGATCTGCCTCCGTACTTCAGTACTACTCACGTACTGCTATACATGCATTTTTCTTCACAACATGGTGATTTTTTCTTCAGGATAAATGTCACGTATGCGTTTTATACGTTTGAAATAACTACCAGGACCACACGTTTTGCCAAAAATATTATTCCTCTTGTGACCATATCAGTGAGTTGTAAAATAGTAACTAAGTAAGCAAATCCTAAGGTGTAAAAATATGTAAAAGAAACAGTTTGTTTTCCTGTTTTTTTTTACATTGTGTTTTGTCTTGACGTTATATACATACTTATTGAACATGTATACGTAATAATAAGACCACACATTATGCAAAAATTATTATCTACAGGCAAATCCTTAGATATAAAAATTATTTTGAATAAAAAATATCCCGTTTTTTAATAAACATTGTTTTTTGTTCTGGATGACACGCTAATCGCGCTATGTACATAGTGAATAAAATAGTAAGACCACAATTTCTGTCAGAAAAATATCGGTTCAGTTTTAAGTAGATGTTGCACTTGGGTAAAAAAAGGCTTATTTTCCTTTGGATATACCAAGGACATTCTGAGTATAATGTCCTTCGATAAACAGTTTGTTTTGATGGACATTATATACACCGCGCGACCGCACGCGTCCCCACACACAAAGGCAGCGCAGTGCACCCGTGAAAAGAGGTCCCTAATCCGACGATCACACAGCCACACTTTCCCCCCAACCTCTTGCTAGTTCGGAGTAAATTGTCATTTCTGGCTGTTGGCGGGGGTTAAGCCGAACTGTCACCCTGTCACGGTCGGGAGCCTGCTCGGCGCATGGCGGGGACCCAGGCCGCCAGGGGACCCGAATGGCCCCCGTCATTTTCCGCTCCACTGCGGGAGTCTCTCTCCGAGCTCCGAGAAGCGTCGCGACGACAACCCGACGGTGGGCGTTCCTAGTCGCAGATCGGGAGGAGTGCCTCCACCAAGATTGCCGGCATTTACAGCTCAGTTTGACGTGCTTGTTCTTGATAAATCTCATCTACTCTCGCTGATGACACCTCTCCTATATTCTCCCCTGCACGAGCCTTAATATTTGCGTAATTACGCTGTAAGGTTTCGCCCTTGTACGGAAAACTACAAGGGCGAGGAAAATTCATGGACAGAGAGGGCGGTATTGAACTTGCCAAATTAGGACGCATCAGCGCGCTTGTAAAACCATTCAGCCTGCCATCATGTGCGTATTAGCGCCGTTCGACGCAATTTACGGAGGGAGCGCACAGAAGATCTCAACCGTTATAGCCTGCTTTCTCCCGGCGTATTTTTGGAATTGTCGTGTAAGATCGTTGTAAAAATCACCTGCCGGTGGTGAGTTGCTTCAGGCTATTCTATTATATGATATAAACGGTTTTCACTCACTCTATATCTCTTTTCATACGAGCCACTTTGATCTACTAACTTCAATGCAAGACGATTTTTTCTCACGGCAATTGAAGTTAGATGAAAGTTTGGAGTTGATAGTTGTATAAAATTACCTGCCGATGGCAACTTGCTTTTGGTCATCCTATTATGTTACACAGATTGTTTTTCTTTTCTATGCAGGAGACTTAAATATACCAATGACGTAGCACTGATGCCCTTAAGTTAGCCCTTAAGTGTACCAGGAAATTTACACGGCCTTAAGCCTTAGATAAATGTTTGAGGTAGATAATGGTAAAATTACCTGCTTGCTGCAACTTGCTTTTGGACATTGTATCATATATTATAACGTGTTTTTTCTATATCCTTAATGCCTTAATATTCTTTTGTATACAATTCATTTGATCTATAGACTCCATTGTACCGAGGCTATTATATCAATGTCATTGACAGTACTTAGATTTTTTTCTTCCGGGAGTTTGGGATTGATTTGGCACATCTTAAAGACATCAAAGTGAGTGAGGAGGTCAATTCGGAAATTAACGGTGCGCAAATGAGTCCTTGACTTTCCGTAGTTTTGCCGACATTTTCCCCTGTCGGTTTATTCCCACGTGTTCCCAAACGCTCGCCGGTTTCCATTGCAGTAAATGAGGTAATTTGGCCCGGAATGGGCACGGTATAATTCGAAGCCTATTTCTCATTAAATCATATCATCAGTGCGCGCCTCCTTTTTTCCTTTTGGCGCGAAAGTCATCAGTAGTGATGGGAGGGCTTTTGTCCGATCTGTGGATCTGCTGTGACGGACAGGTCGATGGGACGACAACTGGAGTATATTTGTCCCGCGCTTTTTTTCCCGCCCTCCACAATTGGCGCCAAACGCGAAAATCACCTCGCATAAAGTGCCAAATTGGCGCTAATAAATCGTGTGAGGGTAAAATGTAAATACGGAGGGAACTAGAGCGCTGGCCGGGGTTAGAACATCAGGCGCTAACTTATGTACGGCCCGGTAATGAAAATCGACTTTTTCTGCGCTTCATGCCGCGCGGTATGTTTCCGCTGGGTCCGTCGATACAAGAGGCGGGCAATTCACATATTATATTTGTAGCTCCGCCGACCCAATGTCTATCGGTTTGCTTGGCATTAAACCGGGAATGGGGAGAATATGACAGCCGTATCCAGGTCTGACTGGATCGATACGCGGTGCCATTTGAGTGCGGCGTTCTTGTCAGCGGTCTCCCATCCCGGGCTCTCCGACCGACCCTGCGCGGTGCCGGTCCCGCTTGGTTAGCGCCGTGATGGATGCAGCGTCCCCGGCCTCCGCGCAGCCGGCACCAGCCGCTCAGGGGTAGCCTCCACCAGGCCTTCACAAAGGGGGTTAGGACGGTAGAATTCGACGAAAAAGAGGGCCTGACTGGCCAGGAGGGTGGGTCCAACATTAGGGTTTCATTCCCCCTCGGAAAATGAACTTTACGGTGACTAAACTCTCCTGCCTTATTATTCTCCCTATTTAGCTAAATTCTACTGTTTTTGAACCCTTTACTGGGTGGAGACTAAAATAACTTGGCCAAGATCAGTCTATTTGTTTGTTTGTTTACTTGTTTTCATTGAGAACTCTGTCCTGGACATTCTTTCCTTTGCAACTTTTTTGTGCAATTGTTCTAGTAGATTGTCA